GAATTCTTTAATGAGATCTTTTACAGCAACTTATAATGAAAATTACAATAGTTCCAATGCAAATTATTTTGCTGTGTATTATAATTACTGGAGTGGCAAATAAATTTTATAACGGAATTTTTTTATAGGAATTGTGATAATTCAATACAGACCAACTCAATTTTAACTACAAACTATTGCCATTGGAATAGCAAGTAAGTTTTACTTAGCTCATGATAGAAGTCACAATAATTCTGATGTAAACTAATTCAACCTTAAATACATGCCAGGATACCGAATTCTGTAACAGAATGGATATTTTATAGCAACTCTTTATAAAATTACAATAATTCCAATACACAATTAACTAACTACATTTTTGATTATCAGAATGGTGAGTGAGTTTTGAACAGAATTTTTTGCAGCAACTCATAAGAGAAATTACAATAATTCCAATATAAATACAACCTTAACTACAAACTATTGTCGCTGGAATAGTAAGTAAATTTTATGATAGGAGTTGAAGTCAATAATTTCGATGCAAACTAACTTAACACATACTTTGATTACCCAAAACAAGTTCTGTAATAGAATTTTTTAAAGTGAATTTTTAAGAAAATTCTTGTGATGAAGGGCAGAAAGCTAGTATAATTTAAAACTTTACAATACTTACAGTAAATTTAATTGTTATTTATGTTTTATATTTAAAAATTTTGATCATATAAATTTAGAATAAACTAACACGTATGCGCTCAATAAAAGCCATTCGTACTAACTGGCTATTATAAAACTTGGTCCTTTATATTAATAGTAAATTAAATAATAAATGAAAAAAGCTTTTCTAACTAAAATTTTAAAAGATACTTTGATAATGTATCATGCTTTATATGCTATTAAATCTTTGAAAGCAAATTTACTCTCATGATAATAAATTTATAAAAAGAAAAAAAAATTATTTATCATTCAATGCTTAACATTTATAACTAACAAATCTATTACGTGCATTACAATATAATCTTTTAACATGTTTTTTATTTCCACACATTCATAACTAATAAAATAAAAAAAAAGAAAATATCAGTATCTTTATAACATAAACTACATATGGGCTAGTTGCTGTGAAAAGGGATGAAATTGACAATTTTTTAAAATTTTTTTTTTTTTTACATAAATCAATTTAAAACAAGACATAAAAGCATTGTGTTAATAAAATTTTGCAATATAGCTTCTTAAAGTTTGTATTTTCTTATAATTTATTATAAGATCTGATAAAATTTCACAATCACCTGATCTTACGTCCATAAAGCCTCACAATCTCCAAACTTCACAAAACTAACTTACAATAAAATATAAGCGACAAAACTAAAAAAAAAAAACTTAACAAACCTACAATTAAATATACAAATTGCATTATACTGTACATCACATACTATATAAAATATTTAACTTAAACTTTTTAAAAAAACCTAATCTCAATACTGTTACGGGGTGAATTGTATCCTTTGATATGATAAATACGAAAATATATAATTTTGGGTGATAAGGCAACTCGCCAGAGGCGTGATGATGGTGATTTAGCAATAGTTTAGTTTTAAAATGATATTATCAAGGTGATTTATTAAATGTTGTAGGTGAATAATATTAGAATCCCGTAGGACCTAACTTTACAAGAGAGAAATTACAGGGTTTTTATAACTTTCACTATCTTTACAATCTCAAGAGGCTTTGGGATAAATTAGATAAATCAAATCTTTCATCACGAAAGATCAAAGGAGAATCACTATAACTAAAGGGGCTTACAATGATAAGTACAACATGATTATAATAACTAAGGCTTTGCCTTTACAACATTTTGAATAATTATTTTAATTAAATCTTAATTCTTGTTTTCTTCTCTTTAGATCTTCATTTGTTTTTCTTGGAATTCTTCTTCGGATTTCACGTAGGTTATCTTTCCGTTATTTAGCCGGTAAGCCTCATGCACTAGTCGATCTGGAATTCCGATGGTCGATCTACTTGAAGTCATGAGTTTGCTGCGCCGATTTTGTCGATCTACCTTTTAGCTCGTGACAATACCAAGGCATGGCGGCGAAGCCGCCCACATGTGCTACGCCAGTTATACAAAAAAGAAGATCGATACCAAGTAGCCGTTATCATGGAGAAGTACCCAAAGAAACTAAACTACCAGAAAAATACTAGACGAATTAAAAACTCAGTTATACTATTATAATCTATCATACGACGGAAATGGAAAAGCATATAGTATCAAGATACGACAAACAAATGAATATCAAGTATCATATCACTCGTAACAATAGAATTCTTGATGAATGAATACAAAGATCTCACCCTTATTTAGAAATTCACGGCATCACAGATCCGGCCACCTAATTAACCACAGCCGAGGTGCTGCATGTCCCCGCATGCATCCCCAGATACAGTTGTATTTAAAGAGGTTTGACTGTAAATAAAGAGCGTTATTTACAAAAAACATCAACTGTCCTCCATTACGAAAAGTTCTTATGATTTCTTCAATTAAAAATATCTTCAAAAAGAAAAATGCCAAAGAACTATTCGAACTAGGAGATCGTTATCTAAATGGCGTTGGTGTTAAACAGAATAATAAAAAAGCTATCAAATTGTGTCAGAATGCCATTGAGATGGGTTATATCGAGGGAATGGTTAGACTCGGTTATTTTTATGAAAATGGAATTGGTGTTGAAAAAAATGAAAAAATTGCATTTGAATGGTATCAAAAATCAGCTGATCTCAAAGATATCGAAGGAATGAATAATCTTCTTCGATGTTTAGAATATGGAATCGGAGTTGAAAAAGATGAAGTAAAAGCATTAGAATGGTATTTGGAAAAATATTTTAAACAATATCATTTACAATGGATTCCGTACAATCAACTTGAAAAAATTGAAAAGATTGGTCAAGGTGGATATTCGACGGTATTCAAAGCTATTAAAGAAAACAAAGCAGTTGCTCTTAAATTAATTCATCATTCAAAAATAAATTCATTAGATTTTATTAAAGAGGTATTTATTAATTTTATTAAAGAGGTATTTGTTAATTTTATTTTGATTTTTTATATCATAATGTTGCTTTTTTTTAGTTGGATGCACTTTGCAATATCGGATATGAGAATCCCTCATTCTTAAGATGCTATGGAATATCACAAGACGAAATCACAAAAAATTACGTTCTCGTCTTGGAATATGCTGAAATGGGTTCTTTACGTAATAATCTTCACGCGATATCACAAATGAATTGGATGAAAAAATTAAATTTATTGTATCGCATTGCTTATAATCTTCAAATAATTCACTCTCAAAAACTTATTCATCGAGATTTACATAGTGGCAATATTTTACTATTTTCTTTATCTAATGCTTATATTGGAGATTTGGGACTTTTAATATCATCCAACACTAAACAAATTGGTGAAATACATGGGGTTATGCCGTACATGGCTCCAGAAATTTTATTAGGTCAAGATTTTACAACGCTATCAGATATCTATTCATTAGGAATCATCATGATAGAAATAACAACTGGTCAAAGGCCCTTTGATGGTAATGAATTTGATTATGAACTTGCGGCGAAAATTTGCCAAGGGGAACGCCCGAAATTTAGGTTCAGCCCTCCTAAACGTTATGTTGACTTGGTTAATTGTTGTGTGTGCTCAGATCCAAGTTGTCGACCTACTATTTTTGCGGTTACTCGTATAATCAATGAATGGATTGTAGCTTTAAATACTCCTCTACCGGATAATAATGAGGATCTTGAAGAGTTTGATGTGTTTACTAAGACAATTCAAAGTGAATTTTTTGGAAACGACTATGAAATTCCGATTATCGAACCAAAGCATCCTGATCATATGTACACAAGCAAGATTATTAGCACAAGACAAATATCCGAAAGGGTTCAAGCACAAGGTTCTAACAAGGTTGATTTATCCATCATGACAGAATAAAACAGTGGATTTGAATGATCACAAGAGAATGTATGCAAATAATTTTGTTTTTTTTTCTAACAAAAAATCCCTTCAAAATTTTGATATATTATGCTGAAACCGTTCGATTGGATTTTGAGTTTTGATTACCGTAAACTGTTGACTCAAGTACCGGCGTGATACAATTTTTCAAATAGTGAAAAATTAAAATACACGTATATTATACATCACATGCACACATAAATAGCATATTAAAAAATTGATCTACATTATTTGTCACTCCAGGTCAGTGTTGGCCGATGACATGTTGGTCATATAATCATATGACTTTTTGGTCATAAGTCAGATTGGTCATATTAAATGCTAATAAAAAATTTTTTTACTATGATTCTTACTATATTAAAAAAGGTCATAAGTCATATTAACCCACATTATGACCAAATGACCTATGACTGGTCATAAAGGTCATATAGGTCATTTTGTAGGTCATCGGCCAACACTGGTAAACAGTGGCATACGGTAATTTGAAATTTTAGTTTGTACAGGAAATGAAGTATCTAATACATTTAATTATTTCTATTACTTCTTTCGAAATCGTATTTTTTTTTTTAAATTACTCGTTTATCGTTGGTTCATCTATATTTCAAATCACATTGTAAATTACGAGAATTTCTTCATTTACTTTTTAAATTAAAAATCTGTAGTTCAGGCCGTTCAAAGTTGTTTAACGTTGTCCTCCTGGTCAGATGTTCCCGCAACACAGGATTAAAAGTGGCCAATGAGAGTTCGGTGGCATATATCGATATCATTAGGTTTGCTTAAATCCCCCCTTTTCATGCTTGAGTACAAATGTTGACATCAAAATAATTAATCGATTTTGAACGGCCTCATTTCTGAAAATTACAAATTCATATCAAAATGTCGATAATGGACAAATCATAGCAATGCTAACAATCTTTCAATTTTATTTTTAATCATAATAAAAACTTTACATAAAGAACATCTAATCTATATCTAAAATTTATAGTGGATTAAATAGATATTACAAGATTTTTTCATAAATTTAGATATAATTATTTGTGGTGTTTGCGAAATTTCCTATGGACGACTTGAATTCTTTTAAATCAAATAAGTTAAATTCACTTAATTGTGAAATAGCAGGTCTATTATTATCAATGTTCAAATCTTCTAGCTGACGTGTTGTGCTTGTTGTGCTTGTTACATTTATTCTGATATTCGAATTGAATTCATCTTTGTTTACACTTTTTTCATCTGCACTGTTAAAAATGTCTGTATAGAGCTCATCATTTAACCAATTATCAAAGTGTTTATGAAGTTGATATGCTGATGGGCGTTTAGAAGGGTTTAAATTCATGCATAAATTTGCCAAAGAGATGTAAAGATGAGGTATTTCTTTTGAAAATTTTGGACGAAGACCATTACATAATATTTCTCGTATAAGACAATCGTCATGTTTTCGTTCATCTAAATGAAGGTTTCCAGTTGAAACTTCCCACATAATTATGCCAAATGAGTAAATATCGGATGCTATAGTGTATGGTTCTCCATTCAAAACTTCCGGAGCTATATACGGTAAAATTCCAAAAATACCATCTTGTTCCATATTTAAATCCCTATTTGCTGATATTAAAAGTCCTAAATCAGCGATATATGCATTATGTAAGCTATTTTGTAATATATTTCCACTATGTAAATCCCGATGAATAAGATTCTTGGAATGAATCGCTTGAAGATCGCAAGCTATATCGAGTAATATGTTTAATTTGTCTTTCCATTTCATTTGTGTTACTTCGTGTAGATTATCACGCAAGGAACCCTTTGATGCATATTCCATAACAAGAATGTAATCTCCAGAATCACAATCTTTTGATATTCCATAGCATTTTAAGAATGTAGGGTTTTCATCATTTATATCACAAAATGCCTTTAACTTTATTATTTTAAAAAAAAAAGTATTTAGACAATCGACATATACACAATAAAATTAAGGAGCAAAAAATTACCTCTTTTGTAAATTCTTCATAACGACTTTTTGATCCATGGAGTAATTTAAGAGCAACTTCTCTTGTTGCATTATTTCGGTCTTTCCATATAGCATAATACACTGTTGCGAATCCACCTTTCCCTATTATTCTAGTATTTTTAAACTCATCATAAGGAATCCATGGCAATGAATAATTATTTGCAGTCAACATCCTTTTTAAATCATCGTTAATATCAAAGTTTTCATGCGCCCATTCATTTGTGTCTAAAAAGAAACTTAATTGTTAGATATTCAAAATGGCTATTGTAAATAGATATGCACTAACGTTAACAAAATGCAACTACCTGAAATCATAGTTTCCCCCCTAAGTTGTTTTTAAACACAATTAGCAATCATAATGAATAATAAACAAATTACAAGAAATACTTACATTTGACACCAATATTTGGCTTTAGATTCATCCATTCTGACACCAACGCCATTTAGATAACAAAAACTAAGTGTAAACATGCCGTTAACATCTCCATTGTCAGCAGACTTTTGAAAGCAACCAAATGCTTTATATTTATCCATTTTGACTCCAATTCCATCTAGATAACAACAACCAATTTTATGTATTCCATCAATGTTTCCTAATTCGGCAGATTTTTGATAATAAATGAATGCATTACGTTCGTCTTTTTCAACACCAGTTCCATTTAAATAGCAGTCACCAAGTTTATATGTCCCAATTGCATTTCTCATTTCAGCAGATTTTTGATAATGGACGAATGCTTCACAATCATCTTTTTCGACACCAATCCAGTTTAGATAACAATCACCAAGATTCCATAAACCAACTGCACTTCCTAATTCAGCAGATTTTTGATAATAACTAAACGCTTTGTATTCATTCCTTTCATCTCCTGCTTCATTTAGGTAGTAATCACCAAGTTTCAATATACCCATTGCGCTTCCCATTTCAGCAGATTTTTGATAATAAGTGAGCGCCTCATGTTCGTCCTTTTCAACACCAATTCCTTCGTCATAACAATATCCAAGATTGTATATTCCATCAACATTTCCCATCTCTGCAGACTTTTGATAATAAGCGAATGCCACATGTTCATCTTTTTTAACTCCAACTCCATTTAAGTAACAATTACCAAGACTAAGTATTCCATCAGAACTTCCCATCTCTGCAGATTTTTGATAATAATAGAATGCTTTATAGTCGTCTTTTCTAACTCCAACACCGTTTTTATAACAATAACCGAGGCTAAATGTTCCTTTTGTATGACCCATATTAGCAGATTTTTGATAATAAGTAAATGCTTTAGATTCATCCTTTTTAACACCAATTCCGTTTTGATAGCAATAACCTAGAATATATATTCCTCCTATATGACCCATTTTAGCTGATTCTTCATAATAAGTGAATGCCTCACGTTCGTCTTTGTTTACTCCAATTCCATTCAAATAACAATATCCAAGATTATATGTTCCATTGGTATAACCCATCTCGGAAGATTTTTGATAACAATTAAATGCCTTGTATTCATTCTTTTTAACACCAATACCTTTTTCGAAACGAACACCATCGTAGAATATACTATCAGAAGATACGTCAACTTGATTGGTACCAATAATCATTTCTTTAACGTCCCTAAAAAAAATCAAGAATGTATGAATCATAATAGTTTACTAAAAAGTTTATTCACATATATGGTAATAGTTTATTTACAAACCTAGCCAAAGTAGATAATGTTTGTTTAACGTTGCTAATTTTCGAATCATCTACGGACTCTTTACTCTGTTCTTTGGTAGTTGTCTGGAAAATTATAATAATTATTGTAAAATTTGTATAGAGTTCAATAAAAAACTTTTTACATAAACGTAGTATATTTACCTCTTGTTCAAATTGATATGGATCAATAAGTATCTCTTTAATATCTCTACGATCAAAAGTAAAAATAAGAAAAATATCGATATATTAACAATGACGCAAACAATGATTAATGATGTAATTAACAACCTGACTAAAGTATAGAATGCTTCTTCAACGTTAATGTCAAGCTTGGCACTTGTTTCGAAAAATTTGACTTTAAATTCATCTGCAAGAGCTTGGCCTTGTTCTTTAGTGATTACCTGAAAATTATATAAATAGATTTAAGTCGAATTCTTCGAAATATTTCATACAAATGAAAAATATTTACCTTATTTTCAACCTCATCGCACTTATTTCCAACAAGGATCACACTGGCTCCTTCATAGACAAATTGCTTTATATATTCGAACCATTTTTTTGCGTCTAATTATTAATTATAAAAATTAAAAATAATAATGAAACAAATACAGTATATATTATACAGTATCAATGCATAAGACTTTAAATAGTATAATTAGCTTTATTTTAAATTAATATCTTATGCATTGATATATGTATCGATGTTACTAGTATAAACCATTTTTAAAATTTTTTTTTTTTAAAAAAAAAGGATACTGTAAAATGACTCTTTATTGGTAACATCATATACTAAAAGTATGCCCATTGCGTGCTGATAGTTAACTTTAAATAAAATGGTATATAAAAAAAGTATTAATATAAAAATAAAACATTAACAAATATCGTTTAACAAGAATAATTAGTGAACTAAAAATTTACGAATTATAACGTCAGAATGCTGTTGGTTTACAGCATCCCACGTATCGATCCTGATCTTTATATCGTCCATTGCAATATCTTTACTTCTGTAGTCAGCTCCACTGGTAATAGTATAGGTGGGCAAAAAAAAGCCATCGTAGAAACGAAGAAATAGTTGTGACTTTCCAACTCCTTATAAAGAATAAATAATATATCGAATAAGCTTTAAAATCAATGCACAAAATTTGTGATGTAACCGATTTTTTTTGGAAACTATTAACGGAATTTAGAAGTTAGAAAATTTCCGACGATTAAATTACAATGTTTTTTAATCGGAAATTTCTACGTAATATTTTTAATACAATTTTGTGCACTGTGATAAACGGTAAACTCTTTTGATTATATTTTGTCTATATCTATAAACGTGTCTAACCTGAGTCACCGGTTAACATAATCTTCATAGCCGTCATATTGTCTATTCTTAACGTTAATAATGGCTACCATATAATGATAGATTATTATTATATAATTTGTAATGAGTGTAAATTGGCAAGTAAAATTGCAAATTAAACAGAATTTTAATATTTCACTTACATAACTGAGAGTTTATTGAATTCAAAAAGTTACGCACTCAATTGTTAATTGAATCAAGAGGGCGAAAAAACCAATCTATATACATAAGTTTAGATTATGGACGAAAGTATATTGTATCATGCGGTGTAATATGCAGCACCTAAAACTAGGAATTTCAGGTAAGAGAACAAATCTATCTTTTTCAATATTACCTTTACAGTCAAGATTTGAATAATTTTAACCTCGAAATCGAATCTGGTTTACAAGTTTGGAAGTACTATAGTTTATGGTAATATCACTTACGATAAACATGAGATAATACAGTTTTTTTAAATTTTTATGTACATTCGTGCATAATTAATATACCTTTGCACAATACGTAAACTGAAGCAAAGCTTTTCAAACAACAAATTTATTATAGATTCTGCTAAATTTAAAAAGATAGAATATAATAATGAATTATGTAAGGAACACGAATATATAGAAAACTTATAATTCTGAAGTATTTATATAGCTTTCAAGTCCGATTAATTTACTATATACTAGAACAATTGTGTCATAACTAAAAGTATGATTATGACGTTTGTTAAATCAATACTTCGCATAAACTATAGTATTTTAATAAAGAATATGTATGTATTTGTCAAAAAAAAAAAAAAAAGAATAAAAGTACGTAGGGTTGATATCTGCTTTATTATGATATTACTGTATGAAAATAAATTTCTCTTAGTGTATAAATTAAAAGCTTGCAAATATTGTTAATAGCGATTAATATTTAATAAATCTCTGCGTAGTTCCTTATTTATTAGTGCACATAAAGTTAAACTAGAACAAATCAAAGCTTAAAACATGCGGCATTGGCCTTTTTTTTTTTAAAAAAAAAACTAGTTTAATTAGCGTTATGACTTACGTAAAAAAAAAAAATTATTTAGTCATATTATATAAAAAATTGCACAAAACGAAATTAGAATGGGTATGATGTTGTAAATTTGAGTAAGATAACATAATTGATTGCGTCGAACTAATTCGAGAAGATATATAAAAATTGTCAATTCTCTGTTTTAATTTAATTAACAATATACCGACTTATAATTTGCTGATTTACATTTAAATTTTTTCATAATATGTTTTAGAAATGTCAAAGCAAAGTTACTTTGGATTTAATAATATTCTTTTCGCATTTATAATATTTCCAGTGGTTTAAAAAAAATAAGCGTTTACTTGGTATGCTTGTTGCAGGAATCGCAAGAAATTTTGCACCGTTTCGCTTAATATTGGAAATCGCCATTTTGTAAAGGGCATCATATCACAGTCAAGCTCCGAAATAATAAACATTTGTAGCTTCTTTATCATCTTGACTTTGAAAGTTTAATGAAAAGACAAATTTAATAAATCCTTTGCGGCAAACTTGTTTTTTTTTCATTTTTATTAGCCATGATAGACCGAAATGTTCAATCGATGTTCGAATAATTATTCGCCGATTCCATTCTCTATATACTATTGCTACTGTTATGGATTAGAATTAGTTTAAGTAGATTGCATATATTTCTTTCTCTCTTTTATTTTACTTTTATTTAGTTTTATTATATTTTTGTATAAAGTGTCGTCACGCATTTTGATAACAATGCCCAATATAGTATAATCATTATTCTATTTTACGTGAAATACATTAGTTATACCAATTAGGGAAGCTTTAAAGGTAAAATCGTCCGCCAGATATTTTTTCTTAATGCACAAAGATAGGTTTAGACATTCGTTTCTTGTATTTTTCGCA